AGGAGCCCAGTTTGACTAGCCCCCCATGACTTGGACCAGGCTGTACTGCCTAACTGTGGTGGTCCTAACTACTGCCTGGCTGTACTGCCTAACTACCGAGAGGTCCAGGACCTGGCGATGCTTCCTGACAGCAGTTCCTAGAGCACAAAACTAGCTGAGCAGAATTACAATTTCTTCGACAGGTAAATCAGTTCACTTCGACAATATATTCCAACCACGTATTTAGTTGTTTTCCCCGGAGCACAAAATGGCCGCGGGAGATCTGAATAGTTGACCACGCCTGCGATATCAGCAGGTCGCCTTCCTTCTTTCCTGACTTCGGGAACGGACCAGAAAAAAACATCGCCGGGATACGGGATTCTACATCAGAGTGAACATCCGCTCACCTTTTCTCCTTTGCTCCCCTTCAGTCCTCTAACGCCGAAGGCTCCCTGAAAAACAAAGTAGCAAAGTCAATCTAAAATAGATCAGGATAAAAAACATTGGAAGCCTGATTTCAGAATTCAGGTCTTGTTCTGTTCTACTTTTCCAGCCCTTTGTGATACTGAGGGATACCCGGCATTAGGTACAGTACAGTAGGATGTGTCCAGTGGGTTGGAGTGATGCACAGAGGGGGCCATTGCTGACCTCCATCATGGATGTAGAGATGATACTTTGGATCAGTGACCTGGAATAGGAAGTTATAACTCCCGATGTCCATACTTGTTCCGGGTCAGTGAGGAAAAACATGTGTAGCCACTTGGGATGTGCCGATACCAATACTAGTATCGGTATCGGTGCCGATGCAGAGTATTTGTACTCGCCCAAATGCTCCGATGCCTAGCCCGATACTTCCGGCATTAGGAAGCTGGGCAGCACTTCATTACACGTTGCCCGGCTTCCTGATTGGCCGAGAGAGCATGGAGGCGGCTTCCCGGCCAATCAGGAAGCCGGGCAGCGTGTAATGATGCACTGCCCGGCATCATGATTGCTCGGAAGCTGGCCAATCATGAAGCCAGGCGCCGTGTAACGACGCGGCGCCCAGTTTTCTGATTGGTCAGGAAGCAGGCTTCATGCTCCCTTGTCACCTCCTCCCGGCCAATCAGGAAGGCAGGCGCAGCGTCATTACACAGTGCCCGGCTTCCTGATTGGCCAGAAAGCCGGCTCCATGCTTTCTCATCACATAGTGATAAGCATGGGGACGGCTTCCCTGCTAATCGGGAAGCTGGGTGGCGGGAAGCTGGGTTACACGCCGCTTGGCTTCCTGAATGGGACTTCCCGTACTCCGCATTCGGTCACGGCGAGTACCGAAAAAAAGCATATCTGTACTCGATAACGAAATGCCGGTATTGGTGCATCCCTAGTAGCCACCTTGCCCTAAGTGGGGTGACTGCCTAAATTGAGTTGTGCTAGGACTGTGTCCAGTCTGGATGGTTACATTCTGAACTCAATCGGCTTTCCCTAAGTGTTCTTTTATTGATTGCATGTGCCTGCTGCTGGGGGTGACCATGCCCTAGAGCAACCAATAGTGGAATGTTATGGATATCTACCCAATCACCAGGAGGTTCATGGCCAGTGGTTCATGCTGAGGACATAAATATCCGAGACTGACCATGTGAAAGTCTCCTTCTGGGGGACCAGTTGGAATTGATGCACCTCCTGCCTGGGGGAGGGTGCGTTAAGTGTGAGCTCTCTGACCAGGCCTGAAGCCTGGAGGTGGTCAGCCGTGGACCCAGTCGGGGTCCGGAATAGTTCCTGGGATGGAGAACCGGGGAGGAACTTCATCTGCTGGAGGTACCAGAGAAGCCAGGATGGGCTTGGACATTAGAGAGAAGTGTGGTGTCTCACCCAGGGGACATCTCAATCACGTCTGCTGACTAGCTACGGTTCTCTGACACAGTGTCACCACATTCTCAGTTTGAAGGCCCTCTACACTGGAAAGTAGTCGGCGAGTCTGGAGTTCCACCTTGTTCGAGATGTCCGCAGCCCTAATCTTCTGCCTAATTTTGCAGTGCGTTGAATAAAGTATTAGAAACCCCTTAAGTGACTGGCGCCCAATGTTGCTTTCACATCCCTATACCGGCTAAGGACTCATCCCTGAGAACGAAGACATGTCAGCTCCCCCAAAGTCAAGGAGGCGCTACACATATTTCTGCAATATGATCAGCATGGAAGCCAGGCGATCAGCATTTATAGGATGGGCCAGCAATGGCAGCCTACACGTTCCTTCCCAATATACTTCTCTTCCTAAGGTGGCAACGATTCTCCGACATAGTGCAGTGAGTGTTGTCATCCCAGGACAGGAAGTGTGTTATTGGCAGCATCACCAGAGGAAATACAGACAAACAATCCTATAAAAAGGAAACAAATGCAGCCGCCACATCTAAGGACCGGGAAGCTGCAACGCATCCAAATCTTGTCCTTGGGGTTCAATCCACTTTAATGGTCCTAGCGAGTCACAAACAGGAGACCCGCCCCTATACAGCAGTCTGACCACCAATGATATGTTCCCCATGTACCTTCACTCCTCGAGAGCCGGGATATCCTATAGGACCAGGTGAGCCCGGGGGACCCTAGAGACAAAAGAGGACAACGGTTATTTGTAGATATGTAGAGCCAAAGAAACAAGATATGGAGACCATAGACAAGTCCAACACATGAATCCATCCCATACCAGAGCGATTGGACTCTGTCCTCCCCTTCAGTCTTCTATCTGACCTCCGTCCTTCCCTTCAGTCTTCTATCTGACCTCCGTCCTCCCCATCAGTCTTCTATCTGACCTCCGTCCTCCCCTTCATTCTTCTATCTGACCTCCGTCCTCCCCTTCAGTCTTATATCTGACCTCCGTCCTCCCCTTCAGTCTTATATCTGAACTCCGTCCTCCCCTTCAGTCTTATATCTGACCTCCGTCCTCCCCTTCAGTCTTATATCTGCCCTCCGTCCTCCCCTTCAGTCTTATATCTGACCTCCATCCTCCCCTTCAGTCTTGCACAGTTGTACCGGCTCCTCCCCTCTCCTCTGATGTCGCTGCACACTGGGAGCTTCATCTAGGGCTCCCCTCCCCCAGCCTCACTGTCCCTGGCCCCGCCCCTTTCATTCATTGGATTTCAGTTCTTTCAATCATGGAGCCTCAGCCTCACATGTGGGTGGTCTACAGAGGAACAGTTATAATAATTTCCATACAGCTTGTCCCCCTTATCGCCCTCCATCCATGACATAATGAGAAGCTTGGAATGAAGGTCTTCTCTATATTTGGGATGGGCCCCACGTGTTCTCATCCATCTCCTCTGATAGATTGTAGTAATGGAGGACTCACCAGGACGCCCTTCTCTCCAGCAGGCCCCTCTCTTCCCGGATGTCCCTGAAAACAAGAAACAAATAACATGTTGAAGGGTTCCCACAGACAGATGTCAATCATATGACGAGTCCGGAACTTTTATATTATTACCCAATCATCAAAAACCTTTCCGGCCAACTATTCTCATCCCCTCTGGGCCAGAAAGTTTGGAGTTTAGACGCTTCCCCTTACCTTAAATTGACACCAAACCCAGGAGTTCAATCCTAAAATCCATTCCAGTCCCGGAACTCTGAACAACAATGTATCTTATCTGTGTATCACTCGGCTGGAGATCCTCCAATCATCTCTGACACTCTCCTTCCTTCTGGAGGGGTGGCTACGTCTGTTCCCCATGGTCCCTGTGTGTGTTGCATAGTGTTGCTCCGCCCCTGCTGCGTGACCGCGTGATGTCACGTCTCCCTCTGATGTCTCCTCCTATCTGCTTTGCAGGAGGGGGATGTTGCTGGAGGCAGGGGCGTGATGGGGGCATGGCGTTGCTGTTAGAGGCGCGGGGGGTGGGGGCGAGAAAATGTTTGCCTAGGGTCCAATCAATATTAAAGATGGCCCTGATTGGTGTTATCATGGTGTCTGCTGGTGGCTCCTCACCCTATGTGGACACCATGATGTACTTTATTTTTTTATTATGCATTACAGGTATTTATAGAGCGCCGACAGTTTCCACAGAGCTTTACATAGAGCACATTCACATCAGTCCCCGCCCTCAAGGAGCTTACAGTCTAGGGTCCCTATCTCACATGCATACAGGAGCCAATTAACCTTCCAGCATGTCTTTGGAGTGTGGGAGGAAACCCACGCAAGCTCAGGGACATAGTGTCCTGATTGGAATTAGTAAATGAATGTAGAAAAGTTCACTCGCACTTGTCACGGATCGGGGCTCACGGGTATGAACTGGAGTGAGGTATGTGGACCCTTTTCACTACACTGGCAGGGACACTTAGAGAAAAGGTTCCAAGCTGTGTAGGCTGACAACCCCCAGAGCTGGAGTACAAGCAGCTGCAATGCTGAGTGGGTGGCACGGGATGCTGAGTAGGTGGCATGGGGTCCCCCAGGATGTGGAATCTAAGGGCCAGCCGGTATTCGCCAGAGCTCCTGATGGTGATGGGCTTTGGCTGCGTGCTGACCCCAGGTCACAATCCCTAGGTCCACCCAACTCACCTAACAGGTACAGGGTACAAATCAAAGGTTAGGGACAGGCTGAAGACTTCCACAAAGCGAAGCACAGGGCAGACTGTAGACAGGGATTTCCAAGAACAAAGCGCAGCACAAGGTACACTGTAGACAGGGATTTCTAATGCCAAAGCCAAAGGTTCGGTACATGGGAAAACTTCCAGGAATTCAGGGTAAATCACAAGTGGGGGACTCGGCAACTAGCTTAGGAAGCGAAAGCCTACCCCAATCTGGCACCGACCAGAAAGCACACCCGACTAAACGATACAGAATCATTTATCGTTAGCTGCTTTTGATGTCAGACCAACCAACACAGGACGTTATGCTGGCACCGAGCGTGGAATGAAGTCCTGTAGATTTAATGGCACCAGAACATCAGCCAAGCTGCCAAATACATGCCAGTGCCATGTACCAGGAGACTAATCCCTCACATATCCCCATTAGATCAGCCTGGGCGTACCCCGGTGTCCTCAGTATACGGGCTCTTATTATAAAAGATGGCCACATTTCGGCTTGCTATGGGTTATTTTCAAGGCGAGTCAACGTAGAGTCTCATTTCCTGTTGCTGACTGATTACAAAGACTGGAGACCGAGCTTATTACAAAGAATGCCGATTTCATGGAGACCAAATGTAAATCACGGCATTTCTAATTATTTTAGTATAGTCTGTGTGGAAAAATTCCATTCCGTGTTTTGGGACCTCGTGTTAGGATCCAGAGCGCCTCTAGGTGGCGCAGGAGCTGAGACCTGCAGCTCCAGTACTCACCTGCGGGTGTCTCCCAGCTGCCAGTACTTAGCCATCACCTGGTGCTTCCTGGGACGATATTTAAACCCTCCCTGCAGTCAGGATGAGGGCTCAGTATCGTTTCCTGTTTCCTGCTTTCCGTCCAGAGTCCTGTTACCAGTCCTGTACCCTGTTTGTGTCCCGAGCCCGGTTACCCATTTTGCAGTCCTAGACACCTCTTGTTGCCATTACCTGCCTTTCCTCCTGTTGCCATTACCTGCTTGTCCTCGTGTTGCCATTACCTGCTTGTCCTCCTGTTGCCATTACCTGCTTGTAGTCTGGTTGATGTTACTTATTTATGTTTGCTTTTGGGTGTTGTTTAGTTTTGCTGTTTATTAAACTGTATATAATACATTCTGCCCTGTCCGGTGTGGTCATAAGTGTTTGGTCTGCCTGTGTGGGTACCTGCGCAGGTGTGGGGTCACCTGTGCCGGTATCCCTGACACCTCGATATACATACAGGCTATACATACACATAATGGTGTTAAAGAGATACAGCTCATTTTCACCCATCTAAGGGGGTTATTCACAAATGTGCCGAAGGGTCCGGCCGTAGCTTCGGCTGATCCTTTGGCTCTCTTCGGCCGCCGGAGGCCTTCGTTTCAGTCGAACCGAAGGGCCGCTGTACGGGCTATTCACCCGTACAGCTGCCGAAGGTGCCGAGCAGGTCTCAGCCAAGCCGAAGCTTCGGCTCGACTGAGCCGAATTGACACCCGAAGGGGGGTGAACGGCCTGCCGAAGGCCAGCCGTAAGCCCAATAAAGGACAGTTGGGCGGAGCCAACCGTGATCTCAATTAACTCCATTACAAAAACTAGAGGCCACCACCTAAAATTGGTGGAAAAAAAATTCCAGCACAAGGGGCGAAGGGGGTTCTTCACAGTAAGATCAGTTAGGGTCCGGAACTCACTGCCACAGGCGGCGATCTCAGCAAAGAATGCGGGACGGTTCAAGAAACTTTTGGACGATTTCTTAAGGGACCGTAATATACAGGGGTACAGGTAATATACAGGGGTACAGGTAACATACAGGGGTACAGGTAATATACAGGGGTACAGGTAACATACAGGGGTACAGGTAACATACAGGGGTACAGGTAACATACAGGGGTACAGGTACTCCTAAGAATGAGATCCTAATAGGTTGGACTTGATGGACTAATGTCTTTATTCAACCTCAAATACTATGTAACTATTTGACGACAGATCAGCGCCCCCAAATGACCCGGGGACGCTGATTTGTCATTAAAAAACAACAACTGGGCGGAGCCGGCCATGAGGTCACGCACGGCTCCGCCCAACTGTTATTCATTGGCCCGGCACCTGCGACTGGTTCCGTTCTGGAACTGGCCCGGGACCTGCGACTGGATCCGTTCTGGACTGGAACCTGCTAGAAAGACTCTCGCAGGTTCCGGCCAATAGGAAACAGTTGGGGAGGAACTAGCTGTCACTGCTGGCTCCGTCCAATTGTTTTTTGTTTTTTTAAAATCTTTATTTTTAAATTTTACTATTTATTTACATTTTAAAAATATTTTTTCAACCTTTGTTTTTAAACTCTTTTCATTGATTTTCTATTCTGCTCGGTACCGCGGAGGTACCGTGCAAGATAGCCGAACCGAATGCCGCTCGGCCGCATTCAGCTATTCACTCACTGCCATTCAGACCCTATGGCCCCCATTCACACTTGGCGATTCGCAAATGGCGCGTTTGCCGCGCGATTTGCATTTTGCGCAATATCGCGCAAATGCTTGCATTGAGCAAGCTTGAATGGCGGCAAAATCGGCTCCAAAAAGGGTCCTGCTGTAGCGACACACGACCCGCGACAGCAGGACCCTTTGCCCCATTGAGCTGCATTGGAGAGCGATATCGCGCGGTAAATAGCCGCGATGTCGCGGGAATTACCACGCGATAAATCGCTCAATGTGAACAGGGCCTATGAGAATATATGAGAATAGGGGGGCGAACAGCAGCGGGTGAGTTGCCGGAGCTTCGGCTCAGCCGATCCCGATGTTGTCAAAGTCCTTCTGCAGATCGTGTTTCGGCTGACCGAAGTGAATCAGCCGTGCAAGCCAGAACTGATTAGCCGAAACAGCGTTGGGCTCATTGACATTAGAGAAGGAGAAAAATATTTTTTCCCCCTCAAATGTCACTTTTGCTGCAAAGGAACGAACGAAACGAATAAGAAACTAATAAGAAAAGAAAACGAAACGAACGTTCGTACTAACGCTACCGAATTGTGTCCAAATCCGAATTGACTTTCACACCCGAATCCTGAAAAACGAAATAACACAAATCCGAATTTAAAACGAAACGAAACTAAACGAATTTTTTGGCAGTGCACATGTCTAGCAGATACGGAATATGTCGATTTATTTATATTCACCTTAATGGAGCCGATCCAAACCTCTAGTATGTGGCAACAATCATCAATCAATGAACGAGCAGAAGTGAGACTGGGGGGGAGGGGCTTGGGACATAGATGGACGGATGCCTTTATTATAATTAAACCGAATACGTTCAGCATGAATATAACTTCTTTCTTTACACCTCTAGCAATAGATCTGAATGAGAAGAAGGACGACACCCCACCTTCACATGGACCAAAAAAAATCAGACGTTTAAGCATACAAGTTCACTGTAAGGCATGGCAAGATGTTATAGATACAAACGCACAGGATGCACTTCCACACTTGATATCCAACAACGGGCCTTTATATTATGTTTTTTCAATGATCTTTATTTTAAGTTAGGTAAATTATAGGGATGTCCCCATACCACTTTTTTAAGACCAAGTACAAGTTCCCTCATGTACTTGCCGATACCAATTACCGATACTTTTTCTTAAAGGGACATGTGACATTTCTTTCCAAAACAACACTTGTACCCAGTGGCGTAACAATCGACATAGCGACCCAGGCGGCCGCTATGGGGCCCGGGCACAGGGGGGCCCGGCATCCTTCTGATGCCGTGTGGGCCGCCTGGGTCGCTATGGCGTCTCGGGTGCTGGCTGTCACTGACATAGCTCAGCAGCTGCTGTGAAGGAGAACGTTCCCCCCTCACAGCCGCTGCGGAGCTGTGTCAGTGACAGCCAGCAGATGCGGCAGAATAGGCCGGTTACATCGGTGTTTGCAGTAAAGTTAGGCGGGGCCCGGCCTAACAGCAACCCCGCCTCCTCTCACATCACTGGCCAGCGATCTAAGAGCAGGTGGGGCCAGTGATGTAAGAGGAGGCGGGGCCCGTCGATAGAAGGAGGCGGAGCCCAGGAACGGAAGAGGAGGCGGGGGCCCGGCGGCGGCGACCACGGAGGTGACAGGTAAGAAGCGTACAGCGTAACTGAGACTTTGCAGAGCCCACCATAGATAGTCTATGGTGGGCTCTGCAAGTGGCATAACTAGCAATCACGGGGCCCCATACAGAATTTTGCTATGGGGCCCTGTGATTTCTAGTTACGCCCCCTGCTTGTCCCCATAGTAGAACACATGACCCCACAGCAGAACACATGTTCCTAAGGCAGAATAGTATTCTGCTTTGGGGACATGTGTTCTGCGAATACATGTCCCCAAAGCAGAATTCCTCTCACCAGGCTGCGTGTCGATCTCACTTGGGACGACGTGGACATCTGCAGTGGCTGCTGCCACGTCCAGTCCCCCCCATCAGTGTGTGGCAGGAACCCCCAGCTTCTAGCCCTGGGGCGGTAGTTTCGCCCCCGGGGCTGTCTATGGCTTTGCCTGCGCCGGGAAGGAGTAGGAGGAGATAAAGAACTGGACAGGCACTGCCATGGACAGCTATGTGCAGGTCCCCTGCAGGCTGCCGAGGTCCCCATAAACGCGGGAACTCGGGCGGCCGCTGCTGTTTGAAAATTTAAAGGGCCGGTATCGGCATTAGGAATCGGGGCATTTTCACAAGTACAAAATGCCCGGTATCGGCCCGATACCGATACTAGTATCACTATCGGGACATCCCTAGTACATTATACTACACATCCCTGTATAATATACAATAATTGTAACTCACCGGAGGGCCATCAGATCCAGCCAACCCAGATATGCCTTGCTTTCCCGCTGGCCCCTGTGGGGAAAGAAAATACAAAAAAAAAATATTGCATCCGTCAATTATTTATACAATGTATCAGACAAAACCTTCTAATGACAAGATGACTGAGGGTCTAAAAGCCAGCAAGGCCCAACAACTGATCAGTGATAAGGGCTTGAAGCTGGTAACAGTGTCTGTAGGACGGCGGGGGCCGATCAGGATGATAAGTCACAGTATTGGGGTGGGCTGTGAAGGCGGAGATGGACGGACGCTTTTATTAAAAGGCCAGTTATGGGTTTTTAATGATGTCGGTGGGTAGGTTAAAGAGTTCCTTCCTGTCCTGGTGAGAATGATTTCTCTAGGAGTGGAAGGAAGTGAGGGAAAATCTCACAGGAAACTCTTCAACAGTGGCAACAGTGGCAAGGACTCCTATAGCTGTCTGTTAGGGTTCTCATTTCTCCAGGCCATGGTACAGCTAGTAGTAGTTAGTCACGCTGAACTGGACTTGTTCTGTTATGTTATGACATTGCGTATCTTCTCCATGCCACTTTATCAGTTCCAGTGAGGGTCAGGAACATACCCCAGCACTGATATCCAGGCAGGTAGCTCAGACACCTTTATCCAATCACCATGGAATTTGTTAGATTGTTGTCTGTCCAAAAACAGTATGGGAGGTTTGAAAGTTGTGGAACCCCCCCCTGTTCTGGTTACATAATGTCGTCCTTTGTGTCAGGAGGTCTTCATAAGTGTTAATTCCTCGATTGACATGGCTGAAGGTGTGAATTGTTGTCACAATGTCAGGGGTAGAGGTGTTAAAAAGGCATTATGTGTGGATGACAGGTGGTGTTGAAGGGCCCTCAAACGTGTTTGGAGATGAGTGTTCCAGTTTGAGGTAGATGGACTCTTCCATACCTCTTCCAAACATTACAGAACAAGTCCAGTTGAACGTGACTAAACACTACCATCTATTCCTATAGAATATGTTACATAGTATTTGAGGTTGAATAAAGACATTAGTCCATCAAGTCCAACCTATTAGGATCTCATTCTAGGAGTACCTGTACCCCTGTATATTACCTGTACCCCTGTATGTTACCCGTACCCCTGTATATTACCTGTACCCCTGTATGTTACCCGTACCCCTGTATATTACCTGTACCCCTGTATGTTACCCGTACCCCTGTATATTACCTGTACCCCTGTATGTTACCCGTACCCCTGTATATTACCTGTACCCCTGTATGTTACCCGTACCCCTGTATATTACCTGTACCCCTGTATGTTACCCGTACCCCTGTATATTACCTGTACCCCTGTATGTTACCCGTACCCCTGTATATTACCTGTACCCCTGTATGTTACCCGTACCCCTGTATATTACCTGTACCCCTGTATGTTACCCGTACCCCTGTATATTACCTGTACCCCTGTATGTTACCCGTACCCCTGTATATTACCTGTACCCCTGTATGTTACCCGTACCCCTGTATATTACCTGTACCCCTGTATGTTACCCGTACCCCTGTATATTACCTGTACCCCTGTATGTTACCCGTACCCCTGTATATTACCTGTACCCCTGTATGTTACCCGTACCCCTGTATATTACCTGTACCCCTGTATGTTACCCGTACCCCTGTATATTACCTGTACCCCTGTATGTTACCCGTACCCCTGTATATTACCTGTACCCCTGTATGTTACCCGTACCCCTGTATATTACCTGTACCCCTGTATGTTACCCGTACCCCTGTATATTACCTGTACCCCTGTATGTTACCCGTACCCCTGTATATTACCTGTACCCCTGTATGTTACCCGTACCCCTGTATATTACCTGTACCCCTGTATGTTACCCGTACCCCTGTATATTACCTGTACCCCTGTATGTTACCCGTACCCCTGTATATTACCTGTACCCCTGTATATTACCTGTACCCCTTTAGATATAGATGGCTAAAGTATATGGGTATATGGAGGCATGGTATATGGATGTATATGCTTGGTATAGAGTTAGTGAGCTGAGGTGTCATCTGAAAAGCATTATCACACCTCGGTTCACAGACCCGAATAGCATTCGTAAACTCATGAATAGTATTGGGGAGTTCCCGAATGCTATGCAGCATTTGACAGATGCGAGTGTCAAATGGGCGGAGCAAGCCGTGTCATCACGTCTAGCTCCGCCCATCTGTTTATTTTCGGACTGAATGCCATTTTTGCGGCGAGTTTTCGTCGGTTTCGGATGGGGGTCGTTGCAGCGGGACTTTTTTTTATTGCGGCGGGTCGGTGGGGGTCCTGCACACCCCTTACTCATTCACAAGGGGGGCTCATCGGCACGGGGACACCCTCCCAATGCCGAGGGCACATGTTCTTCTGCAAACTAAAAAAAAAAAATGCCAGCACTTACCTTCTCCCCTGGCATTCCAATGGGACCCTGAGGTCCAGGTAAACCCTGTAAAAAGAAATGGAAGGGCTGTCAACATATGTATCATAAATACAATTCCATAGGGTGGCCTAAAGTTATTTACTACAAATGTAGAGAGGTATAACCTGAACAAAATGTCCACTGGGTCTCAATCTCCATACATGTATATAATGATATGATTGAAGGAGTTACCGTTACCGTTACCCCACAGACCTCTGCCCTACAGAACTTCTTTGAGGCCCACCTGGGTTCCCTCACTTTTGTTTTAATTGAGCAGCTCTTGGTTCCAATATATTCCATATAATTAATGACTTCATAAAAGAGATACTCCTAGAATTATGAGCAACCAATGCATAGAAATACTCATACTGAAAGTGCACATATGGTAAGACTCTAGTAGCCTCAAAAGGTTCCCTGTAATTAAAGAAATCCAAAAAATATGAAGAGTAGGTCTGACGTCTAGGTGTCTAGGTATGTGAGCAAGGGATATGTCGTGGATTGAAACCAAGCTACCTTATTTATAAGAGATCAGGTCACAGACGGGGCCGGATTTCCCACAAGGCCAACCAAGGCCCAGCCTTGGGGCAGCAGGGAGTAGAGGGGCAGCAGGGAGTAGAGGGGCAGCAGGGGTGTGGAATTCCAATCTCCGATGCTGGGGACATGCAGTTCCGGGCACCGTAAATGTACAGCGGGGAAGCTGATGCTTGTTTTGTATGCAGCCTGCAGGTCTGCCTTTCTCCATGGGGGGGGGAGTTGGAGGGTAGGGGGGCGCACTGAGGGACCTGGCCATGGGGCAGCAGACAGAGTAAATCCGGCCCTAGTCACAGGAGCTTCCAATATCGCTCTTCTAATCCCCCCCACAGTAGACCCCTATTAGATACGAGAGACGGAGAGGTAGAGAGTAAAACCCCTCTCATAAAGGTCTTGTAAGGTGGGCGGAGCTGGAAAATCCAAATCCAATAATAAGGACATGAATGACTAGGGTGGGAAATCAGTTTGTCATAAACAGGAGTTCTGCAAATTATTAATTGTAAATGAAGTTTTTAGGCACTTGAATACGTCTGTCAGATTCTTACATGAGATCCTGGGTTTCCTTGTTGTCCATTTGGTCCACTCTCTCCTTGAATGCCCTATTGGGTTTGAAAGGAAACAATAAGTTGTTAAAATGTATCAAAGGCAGGAAATTAAGGTGCCAACAGACATAAAGCCATGGTATGAAGGCGTGGATTCTGCATGATTGTCACATAGACACAAAAACTAATGTTCTTAGATACTGTATGTCTTCTTTTTAGGGCCCCAATATAATACCACATTGCGGCCACTAGATGGAGCTGAGGAGTATAGGGAATTCACCTCCTCAACTCAATCTACAACTCAGAGGACCAACATCAGGGCAGACCCCCCCCCCGACTTGGCTCTGATTATATACACTGGAAAGACCTCATCTCCACATCAGAAGTAGGCAAGGATCTACAATAGCTGCGCTAAACTGCTTACAATTATTATACGGGATTTATAGAGCGCCAACAGTTTGCGCAGCGCTTTACAATATAAGGAAGACATTACAATCACAATACAATTCAAGACAAGATGGTAAGGAGGGCCCTGCCCCTGAGGGCTTGCAATCTAAAAGGGAGGGGCCAGTGATACATGAGGAGGGAGATGTGTGGGGGATGAATTGTTTGACAATTGCTTACAATGTATATATAGCTGACTTGGAGGCATTTCTTTTCTCCACTCCACACAGGCCCTTGCTCATGACCCACAATGGGCCTACAGTAGTATTATTATTATTATTATACGGGATTTATATGGCACCAACAGATTGCGCAGCACTTTACAATATAAGGGGAGACACTACACACACAACACAGTTCAAAATGAGAGGGTTGTGAGGGCCATGATCTAAGAACTTACAATTTAAAAGGGAGGGGCAAGTGGTACAAAAGGTAATAACTTAGGGGGGATGGGTTGATGGAGGAAGTACAAGTTCAGTTGTTAGCTGGAGGTGGGAGAGGCTTGAACTGAGATTTCAGGGATGGCCTGTAGTGGACAGATGAGGAGATATCTTTGCATTCTGGGGTGGGGAGATCCAGAAGAAGAGAGAGGCGCTGGAGAAGTCCTGGAAGTGAGCATGGGAGGAGGTCACAAGGGATCAAGAGAGCAGGAGGTCTTGGGAGGAGCAAATAAGATTAATTGGGTGATATTTGGGACAAGGTTGGCAGTGTAGCTCAGGGCAGAGTTGTGGATGGCTTTGTATTGTTAGCCTAGTTGGGCGAGTGGAAGCCAGGAAAGAGATTGGTAGAGAGGGGTGGGGAATGAAAGCCAGTGGAGGTTTTGGCAGAGAGGGGTGGGAGATGGAAGCCAGTGGAGGGATTGGCAGAGAGGGGTGGGAGATGGAAGCCAATGGAGAGATGGGCAGAGAGGGGTGGGAGATGGAAGCCAATGGAGAGATGGGCAGAGAGGGGTGGGAGATGGAAGCCAATGGAGAGATGGGCAGAGAGGGGTGGGAGATGGAAGCCAATGGAGAGATGGGCAGAGAGGGGTGGGAGATGGAAGCCAATGGAGAGATGGGCAGAGAGGGGTGGGAGATGGAAGCCAATGGAGAGATGGGCAGAGAGGGGTGGGAGATGGAAGCCAATGGAGAGATGGGCAGAGAGGGGTGGGAGATGGAAGCCAATGGAGAGATGGGCAGAGAGGGGTGGGAGATGGAAGCCAATGGAGAGATGGGCAGAGAGGGGTGGGAGATGGAAGCCAATGGAGAGATGGGCAGAGAGGGGTGGGAGATGGAAGCCAATGGAGAGATGGGCAGAGAGGGGTGGGAGATGGAAGCCAATGGAGAGATGGGCAGAGAGGGGTGGGAGATGGAAGCCAATGGAGAGATGGGCAGAGAGGGGTGGGAGATGGAAGCCAATGGAGAGATGGGCAGAGAGGGGTGGGAGATGGAAGCCAATGGAGAGATGGGCAGAGAGGGGTGGGAGATGGAAGCCAATGGAGAGATGGGCAGAGAGGGGTGGGAGATGGAAGCCAATGGAGAGATGGGCAGAGAGGGGTGGGAGATGGAAGCCAATGGAGAGATGGGCAGAGAGGGGTGGGAGATGGAAGCCAATGGAGAGATGGGCAGAGAGGGGTGGGAGATGGAAGCCAATGGAGAGATGGGCAGAGAGGGGTGGGAGATGGAAGCCAATGGAGAGATGGGCAGAGAGGGGTGGGAGATGGAAGCCAATGGAGAGATGGGCAGAGAGGGGTGGGAGATGGAAGCCAATGGAGAGATGGGCAGAGAGGGGTGGGAGATGGAAGCCAATGGAGAGATGGGCAGAGAGGGGTGGGAGATGGAAGCCAATGGAGAGATGGGCAGAGAGGGGCGGGAGATGGAAGCCAGTGGAGGGATTGGCAGAGAGGGGTGGCGGACACTGAGTGGTGTGACATCCGCACTGATTATGTCAGTTACTAAATTGGTGATGCATGAGGAGACCGAAGGGGCGAGCTGAGGAGTAGACAGACAGGGTTGCATACACAAAAATAAATAAATGTCATGAAGCAGAAAAAAAGAAACACATAGAATTTGGAGAAGTCCTGGAAGTGAGCATGGGAGGAGGTCACAAGGGATCAAGAGAGCAGGAGGTCTTGGGAGGAGCAAATAAGATTAATTGGGTGATATTTGGGACAAGGTTGGCAGTGTAGCTCAGGGCAGGGCATGAGGAGACCGAAGGGGCGAGCTGAGGAGTAGACAGACAGGGTTGCATACACAAAAATAAATAAATGTCATGAAGCAGAAAAATTTGTAACATAAACAATCTACTTACTTGGTTTCCTTTTGGACCTGGAGCGCCATCAATTCCGCTTACACCTGGCTGACCTGGTGGGCCAGGGGGACCTCGAGGACCAACCAAGCCCCGTGCACCCTGAATGAAGAAACGTAATGCTTATTTACCTCTTATCAGATAAATAATATCCATTTATAAAAAAAGTTTCATGAACATAAACAAGTCACATTGGGTTTCACACCTAGTTACATAGTTACATAGTTACATGGTATTTGGGGTTGAATAAAGACATACGTCCATCAAGTCCAACCCATATAGGTCCACTCATCATCTCATTCTTAGGGATACTGGTACCCCCGGATATTACGGTCCCTCAAGAAATTGTCCAAACGTTTCTTGAACAAATCTACACTCTTGGCTGAGATGACGGCCGATGGCAGCGAGTTCCAGACCCTAACCGCTCTTACTGTAAAGAACCCTCTTCGCCCCTTGTGCTGGAATTTTTTCTCCACCAACTTTAGGTGGCGGCCTCTAGTCTTTGTAATGGAGTTAATCTCAAACAGTTTGTTGCCAATGTTGCTGTCACCATTGAACATCTTGTACATGAAAATCATATCCCCCCTTAATCTCCTTAATTCCAGCGTAAACATGTTTAAGGTCAGAAGCCTCATCTCATAGCTCTGGTCCTCCATTCCCTCCCCCTCCCCCTTGTCTCATAGCTCTGGTCCACCATCCCCTCCTCCTCGTCTCATAGCTCTGGTCCTCCATTCCCCTAATTAGTTTGGTTGCCCTCCGCTGGACTCTCTCCAGTTCAAGGACATCCCTTCTCAGTACCGGTGACCAAAACTGGACCGCGTACTCCTGTTTATGTATATTCAATAAAATGAATGGAATTTGTACCCATTGCCATTTTAATATAAGGTGTAAGTCTTCTTCCTATACTATATACAGTACTAGGGTACTCAATTTTGTATTTAGGTTACCACTATTCTGGTGTAATATTGACCATGGTTTGCCATAGTATGGACATCGGTAGTGCCTGGTAAGGCCTCCTGTACTTCCTTTTGGTGAACACTAGTAGACCAGAGATAAGAATGTCTGAGATCTGTATTGTTAGTTATACATTCTCACTCTTTCTATTTAGGATAAGGTAGGCTGGGGGTTATTGCAAATGCACTTGGAAGAGGCGATAAAGGTACTTACAGCTTCTCCGGGAGAACCAGCGGGCCCGGAAGGTCCGGGAGAACCCTGAAAAAAAGGAGAACTTATTACAAACCTGACACAATACAAAACATACTGTAAAGTTGTGTTATTTTTTTCCAATAGAGATATTTTATCATTTTCATGATGCTGAAGAACAATATATGTTACCCTGTAATAAGCAGTAATATACTTTTATATGGTCAAAACATATTATTATATGGCATTATATTATATATACTATTATATGGTCAAAGGTCTGAGGACACCTGACCATCACACCTACAGTATATGAGCTTGAACATCCTATTCCAAAACCATGGACATTATTATGGAGTGGCTCCACCCCCCTTTGTGACTGTAACATCCTCCACTCTTCTGGGAAGACTTTCCTCAACATTATGGAGGGTGTCTGTGAGACTCTGTGCCCATTTGTGAGGTCAGGTGCTGACGTTGGATGAGAAGACCTGACTCACAATCAGTCTTCCAATTTGGTGTCCCAAAGGTTGAGGTCAGGGCTCTGTGCGGGACACTTGAGTTCCCCCACACCACATTGGTAATACCATGTCTTTATGGAGCTGGCTCAACTCTTCTGGGAAGACTTTCCACAAGATTTTGGAGGGCGTCTGGGGGAATTTGTCCCATTTGTGAGGTCAGGTACTGACATTGGATGAGAAGAGCTGGCTCACAGTCAGCGTTCCAATTCATCCCAAAGGTGTTCAGTAGGGTTGAGGTCGGGGCTCTGTGCAGGATACTCAAGTTCCTCCACCAAACTGGTCACACCGTGTCTGTATGGAGCTGGCTTTGTACACAGGGGATAGTCATGGCGGAACAGAAAAGGGTCTTCACCAAACTGTCACCACAAAGCTAGGAAAGCACAACTGTCCTTAATTTGCTTCTCCTCTAATTATAAACCCTTACCCCTAACATATGTGTCACAGCCACCCTAACCTGTGTCTATTAGGTAAACAAGTCACTGGACTTTGCACGGTATTTGGCCAAAATGTGGTAATCTACGGTACTCATCTAGGGTTCTTCCCACGCAGAAAAGATCCTTGAAGGAAACTTTTCAAAGGGAACAATGTGCCAGCAATGAATCATGTATTGTTTTTGTAGCCCATTGTCAGGCTGGTCTCAATGACCAGGGCTTAAAATGTACTGCGGCTTCATCTATGTTCATAACACATGCCAAGCAAGAGTTGCAGCAGGTTGGAGTACACAACTTTTCATGCGAGATATGTTCTCTCTTTACTAGGTTACCTTGTCTCCATTTTTTCCAGATGGCCCAGGCGGGCCCGAGCCCCCCATATCTCCCTGTGGCAGAGAAAAGAACAAGATTGTCATCATTCAGGCCATGCACATATTGTTGCTTTGGCATTACAAGCCAGAAAGAAATTCACGTGTTTGTTCTCGCAGTTGAGCGTAGCCGTCTTTTTTTGTAGGCGAACTTATCAGCGTGCCGCTTCGGATTATTAGCTTCTGTACTTACTTTGTGGCCGTTCTCTCCTGGAAGTCCTGGCAAGCCATCAAATCCACGGTCTCCCTGTGTGAAATATTATAAAGACCTATTAATTGGAGGCTTACAGAATGGACGAAGCTGGAAACCTTTACATTGAAAGATTCGGAACTGCTACATAACCCAAGACGGACATATCGTATGATATCCAGCTCAGACAGCCATATCCCATACCCATATGATGACCATATCTCTATAATCCGGGCCGCCATCAGTCCCCAAATCCCCGCCATATCCTTTTCACGTAAATATGATAACTGCACACATGGGCAGATGTGGTTATTATAGGATTCAGCTATGTATCATGTCTTATTGATAGAGCAAACTGTGACTAGGGGTACATTTCACAAAGGCCAGATGTTGAAGGCCAATTGAAGTTACAGAAACAGGTATGGAGTCCGATAGACTTTTCTAGTAACAACCTCCATTTTCCTGTACTACAGATGTGCAGGGAGTCTAAATATGACTGTGCAGTCCAAAAGGGCCCAACATTAGACCCAGTACACCATGCAATGCAGCCTTTCCCAACTAGGGTTCTGCCATAGCTAGCTAGGGGTTCCTTGACAAATAAACAATTTCTGCCACTGGTATCAATGATCTGTTAGCTATCTGTAAGGAGCTTCCTTCCCACTGACCCCCATGAAAAACTACAGTTTTCACTATCTGCATTTCTTTTCTGACCATTATTATTATTTGCTTCTTTTCATCATCATCACTAAAAATATTTGTGTTCTGTAGCGCAACCCCCTTAAGTATGCCACCATCTGTATTCTTCTATCTAAACTTACTGTTCATGCCAATGTACCCTGAGCTGTAGATAAAGTCATTATTACTGGGGGGGGGGGGGGGTTCCTTGAGACCCAAATGTTATGTCAATGGTTCCTCCATGTTATATAAGATGAGAAAGGCAATCGTAATGTAACAGAGCTGGTCTGGCATGACCCCCCCCAGTCCTTCCCTGTAATAGAAGTCTGTGTGATGAGTGCAGTATCATTGAGTAGGATGGGGTGGACAAAGATACTGGAATGCTCCAATTAGCAATTCCATGATACAAGGGTGAGCACAGTAATTACTCATTTCTATCACTAATTATTTAAATTTTATTGCGCAATCACATTGATCTGATCAGAGATGGGTTTCTAGTAGAAATGATAATTCTCCATTTGTTGATACAATGAATAAGTTGGGTGTATAAATGTCCATAACTTATACAGGTTCCACCCGCGGGAGGTTCTGAGCGGAGATGGAGAGATGACTTTCTTCCATCTGTGTATTCTGAGAGTACCAAAAAAAGCACTCCAGCACTTTCACCACACTCTTATGCAGGGGCGTAACTAGAAATCACAGGGCCCCGTATTAGGGAAAACGTGCCGCGGCCGCTGTACATGTCACTGGCAGGTTGTCAGTGATCTTCACAGCCGCTGCTGAGCTCTGTCAGTGACAGCCAGCACCCTTATATGCCATAGGGACCCAGGCGGCCCACACGGCATCAGAGGGATGCCCTGGCCGGGCCCCCCTGTGCCCGGGCCCCATAGCGGCCGCTTGGGTCGCTATGACGATTGTTACGCCACTCCTCTTATGGCATGGGGCAGCAAGACAAGAGGTGTCCAGCCAATGTGTCTCTGTTCCCCACCGTCTCATACTCACCGATGAGAGAGTGTAAGTACGAGGCAGCAGCTGCCCTCAGACACCACCATCGCCTGGCACGTTGGTATTTACGTCAGTGGAAAAGGTAAGGCAAGAGGAGTTGAGCAGTGCTGGAAGCTTCTGGGGGGGACTACAGAGATTGAGAGAGCTTTGGTTTATTGGTTGACCATCCACCAGACACTGGATGGTCTTCCACTTCCACTAAAGACCAGGCTCCTCCAGGTCCCTACTGCTTGGTTTTCTTTTTGACTTTTTATTTTATCTCAATTCCTTTTTATTAATTTTCAAAAAATACATAACCATCAACCCTACATTGTACATTTCCTTATTTAACAATGCAATCCACCATCCTTTCATTCCTATTCTCTCCAACCAATTCCACCCCCCTCCCCAGCCCTCCATCCTCACCCTCTTTCCAATGTGATAAACCCAACTCTATCATCCCATATCCTTGTTTCCTCATAGGCGTAGGCATATAATGTGCTGCCCAAGGAGACTAAATTTTAATTTTTCTTGCTGAGGGCTCCATGGTTCTACGGCTCCCTACACGCTGCCCATTGATGGTCCCTTTGCACAGCAGAGCACTCTTGTATCCAGTGCTTCTCGGATGCTCTGGTAGGCAAATAACGATCAGCCCCTGAGGTTGCTGGCTCTGGCGCGACCCTTTCACCTCCTGTAGTTCACCATTGGTTAGTGAAGATGTCCTTCACAATGATGAACCAATGGTGGTGGGAGAGGAGATGGGCGGTGACGGGCCTAAGGAGCCGCTCAGTATTTGCACAGCGGAGTATTCTAAGTAACCATAGAATGCCACTTTTATCTCATACCTATGGGTAGATCTCATATCTTACAAGAAAGACTTCCACTAAAGACCAAGCTCCTCCAGGTCCCTACTGCTTGGTTTTCTTTTTTCTTGCTGAGGGCTCCATGGTTCTACGGCTCCCTACACGCTGCCCATTGATGGTCCCTTTGCACAGCAGAGCACTCTTGTATCCAGTGCTTCTCGGATGCTCTGGTAGGCAAATAAGGATCAGCCCCTGAGGTTGCTGGCTCTGGCGCGCCCCTTTCACCTCCTGTAGTTCACCATTGGTTAGTGAACATGTCCTTCACAATGATGAACCAATGGTGGTGGTAGAGGAGATGGGCGGTGACAGGCCCACAGAGCTGCTCAGTATTTGCACAGCAGAGCATTCTAAGTACATTGGAATCTGCAGCGAATCAGATAGAGTCGGTTTAATTCACAGGAAGTAAAAAAAAGCCAATGAAGGTCCCGCCCCTTTCATTCATTGGATTTTAGTCCTGTCACTCACAGAGTCTCAGCAATCACATGAGAAAAGAATCATGTCCAACCTTAATTCCGGTTTCTCCCGGCATACCGCGCCCGCCGTCTGCTCCGCTGCGTCCCTGAGACAGGAACAAAAAAAAAATGACTCGCGTGGAAAGCAAAATATATGAAAAATGGTGAAACGAGAGATAAAAGGCAATAAAAGAGCTTTACCAGAAAATGCAGCAAGACACAAATATAAAGGAAAACCTATAAATAAGGCGACGAGGGAATGTGCACGCCCGCCTCATACTCACTCTTTTCCCGAACTTTCCTGAGGGACCCACGATGCCTTGGAAGCCACGCGGACCCTGTGAACATTACGTTCATAGAGTATAATTAATACGCAAATTTACAGGAAACAACACTCAACAATACTGTGACATTCAACCCCTGAGGAGCTATGTGACATGGAGTCTGTTCCTCCCACCACAGGGTGACACGGGCAGGAGGAGCTATGCGACATGGAGTCTGCCCCTCCCACTACAGGGTGACACATTCAGGATGTTCTATGTGACATGGAGTCTGTCCCTCCCACCACAGGGTGACACGGGCAGGAGGAGCTATGCGACATGGAGTCTGCCCCTCCCACTACAGGGTGACACATTCAGGATGTTCTATGTGAGTCTGTCCCTCCCACCACAGGGTGACACGGGCAGGAGGTTCTATGTGACATGGAGTCTGCCCCTCCCACCACAGGGTGACACTGGCAGGAGGAGCTATGTGGCCTGAAGTCCATCCCTCCCACCACAGGGTGACACGGGCAGGAGGAGCTATGTGACATGGAGTCTGTCCCTCCCACCACAGGGTGACACATTTAGGAGGAGCTATGTGACATGGAGTCTGTCCCTCCCACCACAGGGTGACACATTTAGGAGGAGCTATGTGACATGGAGTCTGTCCCTCCCACCACAGGGTGACACATTCAGGAGGAGCTATGTGACATGGAGTCTGTCCCTCCCACCACAGGGTGACACTGGCAGGAGGAGCTATGGGGCCTGAAGTCCATCCCTCCCACCACAGGGTGACACGGGCAGGAGGAGCTATGTGACATGGAGTCTGTCCCTCCCACCACAGGGTGACACATTTAGGAGGAGCTATGTGACATGGAGTCTGTCCCTCCCACCACAGGGTGACACATTTAGGAGGAGCTATGTGACATGGAGTCTGTCCCTCCCACCACAGGGTGACACATTTAGGAGGAGCTATGTGACATGGAGTCTGTCCCTCCCACCACAGGGTGACACATTTAGGAGGAGCTATGTGACATGGAGTCTGTCCCTCCCACCACAGGGTGACACATTCAGGAGGAGCTACGTGGCCTGACGACCATCCCTCACACCACAGGGTGACATGAACAAGAGGGTGCTACGTGACCTTGTAAAATATAACCTTGTATGTAACAATAATACAAAGTGTAAGTATAGAAGAACTCACCGGAGGACCATTGTCTCCATAGTCACCCTTTGGACCTTGCGACCCGGGAGGACCCTAGAAAATAATAACACTTCTTCTGAGCGATGAATTCCAACTCGAGGAGCCATTGTACATTTCATGTTACGGGGGGGTAATGACAGATCCTTATGTAGGACAAAGTGAAACATTGCACATTAGCCGCGTGTTGTTGCACATTACATCTATTTCAATAGACGCCACCGACCAATCAGATTTCACGGATCTCACAAACCGAGACTTTGCGACTCGGAATGACTTCTTTATATGGTGATGAAATAGGTGAATCATATCATGCAGCAGAAACAATCCTGGAAGATACTTACGAGGGGACCGGGCCGTCCTGTCAGACCCACCGGGCCAGGCGGACCTTTCATAGCCAGCTAAAATGGTAAATGAAAAAAAAAACAAAGTTTCAGTAAAAGAAATATCGGACGCTTTGTACTTACTGAGGCCATCAGCTTGTAGCGAAATATATTCGGTTTATTACAGGAATGGAAAGACACAATTGTT